GCCCTGCGGGAGGAGCGGCGCCAGGCGGAGCTGGGGCCTTGGGGTGCGGGGCAGCGGCTGACTACCGGGTCGCGTGGGTTCCCTGGGTGCCAGGTGCTCCGAGATGGAAGGAGGCGGGGTACGAGAGGGCAGAGGGCAAGGCGCACGGACTGGGAGAGGGAAGGGGGAGTGCAGCAGAGAAATGGAGGGAGAGTGGGGTGAACAGCTGGAGGTGTCACCCTTCCCTCCCCATCCACTCCCCCGCAAAGGGACCGCGAGGGGTGGGCAGGCGGGCGGAGACCAGGCCCCGCATTGCCCATCAGCGGTCAAGGGGCACAATGTGAAGCTGGCCTTTGGAAGTCTGGGGAGGGGCTCCCCCCCAGCCGTGCACTAGGCTCGTGAGCCCCCCGCCCCCCGGCCCCCGCACCCTGCAGGGTAAAGGAGATATGACAGCTCCGTTCCTTCAGCTCAGCACTGGACACACATAGCTGTCCTTACCCCCAGCAGACCCCTAACTGCAGGGGCCCTCAGCCTCCTGGGGGGCTCCCTGAGCCTCTGGGCCAAGGGAAGGGGGCTGGGTCCTCTGGGGGGGTGAGCGTTGCAGCCGACATTGCGACATTGCGAGGGCTCTTCTCCACCGGTTCTTGAGGGCTCTGGGCAACTCCCCTAGGCTGATGGCAGAGTTCCAGGGGTGCTTGAGAAAGAAGGGGGGCCACTCAGTCCTCCTGTTAGGGTCTCTACATCCCACAGAAATGACCACTTCTCCACCCCAGGTTCTGGGCAGCCCTCCCACCTCTGGTGGGAAGTGTAGATCAAGTTAAGGGTCCCTGTCGCCCTCACCGGCCATGGGTGGCACCTGACCTGAAGCAGCCAGCCCACTCAGGACACTGAGACCCGGGCTTATTCACCCAAAGGGACTGAGGTCAGGCCATTCCTGGTTACCTGTCCCCTCACAAGGTCTGCAGAGCAGAGCCAAACCCTCACCCAACCTCTGCCCTGCTCTCCTTGTCCCCTGCTGCCCCCAGGGACCTGCAGCCAAGTAGCTCACCCCCTCCTTCACCCCTCCCCCTCCCCAGGCAGTCACTCCTTCCTCCTCCCCCAGGAAACTCACCCCTACAACCTCCCCAGCCTGGCTCACCCCCACACCCTCCTTAGGCTGGTTCACCCCCACCCCCTCCCCAGGCTGTCTCACCCCCACCCCCTCTCCCAGCTGGCTCACCCCCACTCCCTCCCCCAGGCTGGTTCACCCCTACCCCCTCCCCAGGCTGTCTCACCCCCACCCCTTCTCCAAGGTGGCTCACCCCAACCCCCTCTCCAAGCTGTCTCACCCCACTCACTCCCCAGGCTGGCTTACCCCCACCTCCTCTCCAGACTGGCTTACCTCCCATGACCCCAGGCTGGGCTTACCGTGCTAGGTGGGGCTGGGTGGGTTTTTGTCTGGGGTCTGTGCACCCAAAAGGATGAGGATAATGCCAGCATGGGGTGGGGTCTTGCTGAACTGGCAAGCAGGATGGGGGACACTCCAGGAGAGGGGTTTCAGCTAGCCCAAGGGTTGGCATGAGCCCAAGGACCCAGACCCCCCACCTTTAATCCATGGTGTTGGGAAGAGAACTTACTGTATCGTGGACAGCCAGGAGAAGCATCAAGTCCACCTTGGAAGAGTGTGTCCACAGTGCCCCTCAGAAGCCACGAGGGTGACAACCCATCTCACATACACTGAGTAGGGCAGGTGCAGGGAGGGCCGGTCCTGGAAGAGGACAACATGCTTGCAATGTAGTAGTTGTCATCATGTACTGAGTCAGGACCAACCCACAGTGCTGGTGGCCTAGAAGCTGTGCTGCAGTCCCGAAGGTCCATGGTTCGAATCCACTAGCTGTTCCATGGGAGGATAGGCAATCCCCTCCTGAGCAACTGCCTGCCTCTGAAAACCTGCCGAGGGGTCAGCTGTGGGTCGGTTCTAACTCTACGTACTCAGCAATACATGTCATGGGAGGAGACCCTTCTCCCTCCAAGCAGCTGGTGCCTTTGGTTTGGCAGCTCAGTTGCCTCATCGCTAGTCACCAGAGCTCCCTTGAAATGGTCACGGTCAGTAAAATAAGACAGCCTGATGGAGTGACTGTGGCCATGGGCTCCAGCACAGTGGACACTCACCAGGGACAGACCAAAGGTTTTGTTTTGGGGGTTGTTTCTAGGTTTTATATGAGTTAGACTCCCCAGGACCACACCACAGAACAATGCATGTGAAGTGTTCAGTCCAGAAGCAGTCACCAAGAAAACCCTCTGTAACTGCCTGAAGTCAGGACACTGCCAGCTCTGGGCACACCATCGCTGCCCAGCCCCTCCCAGGGCCACTACTTCTGGGGCTTACTGAGGACTTTCTAAGCATGGGATACAGGGGTGTGGGTGGCAGTGTGATTTCTTCACCTTCTTCTCTCTGTGCTGGGGTGCTGGCTGTTGTTACATACCATCAAATCCACTATGACCCTTAGTGACCCTGCCCTGTCCTGAGCCAACCTCACCATCCCTGACACACCTGAGTCACTGTGTCAATCCGTCTCAGGTAGAGTCTTCCTCTTCTGCACTGTCCCTCTACCTTTCCAAGCATGATGTCCTTCTCCAAGGACTGGTCCCTCCTGGCAGCATGCCCAAAGTGTGTTAAGAGAGAGCTTCAGAATCCTTGCCTCCAAGGAGCAGCCTGGTTTCACCCTCTCCAAGAAAGACCTGTTTGTCCACAGTATGTTCAATACTCTTCCCAGCACCACAGCTCAAAGGCATTGATTCTTCTTCTTTCACCCTTAGTCATTGTCCAGCTCTCAGATGCCTACCAAACAGTTGAGAAGACCGTGGGCTGGATCAGGTGCACCTTAGTCTCTATACTGACATAGTTGCTTTTTAGTATTCTGAAGAGAATCTTGACAGCAGATTTTCTCCAGTGCAAATCGTTTGTTCATTTCCTGACTGCTGGTGCCAAGAGTGTTGATTGTGGACCTGAGCAAGATGAAATCATTAACAACATTTCTCCAACCACCATGATGCTGCCAATTAGCTTGGTGGTGAGAATCTTTGTCTTCTTGATGTTGAACTTCAAGCCATATTGAAGGCTGCAGTCCTTGACCTTCTGCAGAAAGCGCTTCAGGTCCTCCTTATTTTTGGCAAGCAAGGTTGCGTCATTTGCATAAAGCAGGTTGTTTGTGAGTCTTCCTCCAATCCGAATGCCACATTCTTCTTCCTGGAGTCCAGCCTCTCAATCTTTTCTGCATATCGATCGAAGATATGGAGACAAGGATGCATCCCTGACACCTTTCTTTCCCGCTTTTGAACCATGGGATGTGGGCATCACTGTGTCATTTCTCCCGCATTCCTCCCATCCTTGGTCACTGGGGCCTTACTGGAAGGCCATGTGGGAGGTATATGCTGAGGGCAGCGGGGGGCCGAGCTTGGAGCCCATGTGGGAGGCGCAGCTGTTTATGTTGAGGGCAGCCCCCTGGTTCAGGAATCGATGCTAGAGGCACGGCTGTGTACATTGAGGACAAAGGGCTGGGCCAGGAGCCCACGTAGGAGGCACCGTTGGTCATGTACGTTGAGGGCAGCACCCTGGCTCGGGAGTCCACGTGGGAGGCATGGCTGTGTACACGAGGGCAGCGGGGCTGGTTCAGGAGTCCATGAAGGAGGCATGGCCATGTACACGAGGGCAGCGGGGCTGGTTCAGGAGTCCATGTAGGAGGCACGGCCGTGAACATGAGGGCAGCGGGGCCGGGCCTGGCGGCTGTTGAACTGCTGCTGTGTCCCTGTGCTCTCACACTCACTCTCCTGGGGACACACTCTAGGGAGCAGGAGCCCCGCGTCACTACTGCTCACTCAGCTTAGTAACAGTGAGCGCAGCTGGAGAGAAAGGACACGTCCAGCGCCCCAAGAGAACACGGCCTTGCGGACACCCCGAGCTGGGCCTGAGCCTCCAGGACTCTGTGGGTTTCTATTCCTGAGCTGGCCCGCTCTGAGGGGCTGGTAGGATGGGGAGGCCGGGACACAGGCCAGCTAGGTGCAAGTGTGGCCTCTTGGTTCCCCACGTGACCTGTGATCTGCCTAGCTCACAAGAAGGTCCTGGAAGAAGTAGCTAAGAGAATACGCTGTCCCCTTTTCCTTATGACTCAGGGTGAAGTCTCTCTCAGGGAGGAGTGATAGGGAATGGCAAAGGACACACTGACAAAGAAGATTGATCAGAACTGGCTTTGACAAGCACTGTGGCATTTGGACAAGAACAAACTGGGAGGATGGTAGAGAGAATGGTGCAACAATGAATGAATGGAAACCCAAAATCTCTGTAAATGTTTATGAAAATTAATAAAATATAGAAAAAAAATTTTACTTGACAGCAATGAGTAACTACAATTAAAACAATATCAAGTGTTAATATAAAAAAAAAAAAAAAGGTCCTGGAAGGTCCAGCCAGGAAGTTCTCAGACACTGGGAAAAGGATTCATGGTTTCCTTCTGGGGAAAGTAGAGGGTCGGCAGAAGCGGGAGGCCATGCAGCAGACGGGGGGACACATGATGGCCACACAACAGACCCTAGCGTGGAAGCCAGCAGGAGGGCGCCTGGACAGGGCGACATTTCAGTGTCATGTGTAGGGTGGTGTGAGTCCCTCCCAAAAGCAGAAGGCCGGAAGTTTG